TCTGTACAATAATTTGCAGGTAAACAACACACAATATCTGTACAATAAGTCACAGGTTAACAACACACAATATCTGTGCAATAAGTCACAGGTTAACAACACACAATATCTGTACAATAATTTACAGGTTAACAACACACAATATCTGTACAATACTTTACAGGTTAACAACACACAATATCTGTACAATAAGTCACAGGTTAACAACACACAATATCTGTACAATACTTTACAGGTTAACAACACACAATATCTGTACAATAAGTCACAGGTTAACAACACACAGTATCTGTACAATACATTACAGGTTAACAACACACAATATCTGTACAATAAGTCACAGGTTAACAACACACAATAACTGTACAATAATTGACAGGTTAACAACACACAATATCTGTACAATAAGTCACAGGTTAACAACACACAATATCTGTACAATACTTTGCAAGTTAACAACACACAATATCTGTGCAATAAGTCACAGGTTAACAACACACAATAACTGTACAATAATTGACAGGTTAACAACACACACAATAAGTCACAGGTTAACAACACACAATAACTGTACAATAAGTCACAGGTTAACAACACACAATAACTGTACAATAAGTCACAGGTTAACAACACACAATAACCGTACAATAATTGACAGGTTAACAACACACAATATCTGTACAATAAGTCACAGGTTAACAACTCACAATATCTGTACAATAAGTCACAGGTTAACAACACACAATAACCGTACAATAATTGACAGGTTAACAACACACAATATCTGTACAATAAGTCACAGGTTAACAACACACAATATCTGTACAATACTTTGCAAGTTAACAACACACAATATCTGTACAATAAGTCACAGGTTAACAACACACAATAACTGTACAATAATTGACAGGTTAACAACTCATAATAACTGTACAATAAGTCACAGGTTAACAACACACAATAACTGTACAATAAGTCACAGGTTAACAACACACAATAACCGTACAATAATTGACAGGTTAACAACACACAATATCTGTACAATAAGTCACAGGTTAACAACTCACAATATCTGTACAATAAGTCACAGGTTAACAACACACAATAACCGTACAATAATTTACAGGTAAACAACACACAATATCTGTACAATACTTCACAGGTTAACAACACACAATAACTGTACAATAAGTCACAGGTTAACAACACACAATATCTGTACAATACTTAACAGGTTAACAACACACAATATCTGTACAATAAGTCACAGGTTAACAACACACAATATCTGTACAATAAGTCACAGGTTAACAACACACAATATCTGTACAATGATTTGCAGGTAAACAACACACAATATCTGTACAATAAGTCACAGGTTAACAACACACAATATCTGTACAATAAGTCACAGGTTAACAACACACAATATCTGTACATTAATATACAGGTAAACAACACACAATATCTGTACAATAAGTCACAGGTTAACAACACACAATATCTGTACAATAAGTCACAGATTAACAACACACAATATCTGTACAATAATTTTCAGATTAACAACAAAATATTTTATAACATTGATATATGTATTTTTCTACTTAAAGAGAACAAGACAAACAATCAGTCAGTATTGTTGAAAAAGTATCACCTGTTTAAAACTATCAGATGACTGGATACCTAGACAAATAATTGTCATGTGTCGTCATAACTCCATTAAAAACCCTAACAGTTCAACAAAGACTTTTATAGGTATTTCCTTGAAGACTTGTGCAGTCTTCAGTCTATTACAATAAATCATAGCTGTATCTTATATACACATATATTACTCACCACAATCTTTTCAATAAGTATGATTTTAATCAAACTGGTATACAAAACCAATGCACCTAGTTCAGAGAATAAAACAATCATTATTCCTAGCTAAAAGTTCCTTATACAACAGAAATTTTTAAAACTACATTCTAAATTTCTAATTCAACCAGATTCAATCTATTCTAAATTTTCTCAATGTATAACACTGCCTCCTCAATAATACACATAACATTAAAAATCTACAGTTAAAATTTTTCTCTTAGAAGTAGTTGTTGATAACCTTGTTTCTACCTGACGTCTTTTGAATAGAATTTATATTACAAAGTAAATGGGAGGCCAATGTTATGACAGCCGTGAGAAAGCCTCCTCTCATTAGACATACCACTATTTTCAACCCTTGCGATATACATAGCCTATTGATCGTGGCAGGATTTTACTATTATGGGGTACCGAGTACTGGTAATTCACCTCTTTGTGGCAACACAATGTCCACATTGCACAACAACAGTTAGGACTAAACCCTGGAGATTGGTGGATATTAAACCCAGATACACACATACCCTTATAGAAATTCACTATATCATCTAACCAATCACAAAATTTATGGAAAGTGATTCTTAAAGACCAATAAAGAAGAAAAGTTGCCGATTTATAGGCCTATCAGGCAGAATTATTTATATAGAAAAATCTAAGTTTAATTTTCGAGTTTCTAAACAGTTTGTGTGAAAGAAAAATGTTCTGCGGAAAGAATTTCTAATGTTTAACAATACTCTTATGACGCTTATTGAAATTCCTCACATCTAATGATCTGAATAATATATGGAAAATAATTGTACAGAAACCTCAGGGCCTCTTAAATGACAACATGTATCCCAGGTTGTTAGTGAAGAAGTGATCTGCTATAGGTATCCAAAGCTATATATGTAGAATGGTATGGCTGGGTTTGTCTCATGACAGATGTAACTACATGTACCCAAAAAAGACATGGTCCTGCTTGGGACTTGTCTGACAGGTATCTGACCTTATACCAATCCTGACATTGGTACAGTCCTTGGTAGAATTACCATGGTAACAGAATGCCAGTACATCAATAAGAAACGGAAATGTGAATAAAATCAGATATATCTAAAACTAAGAATCCTTGGCAAGTTAGTGGTTAGACAGCCAGAAACAGACGCTGCAATAAAACCTTAGCCATATTTGTCGCTTAACTCAATGCCATGTTATATCAATAAGGCTTGTGTGCTATCTATGACTTTGATTTACATAATAACACTCTCACAAAGATCTCTCAATAGATAAAATTTCTTTCCCACACTTTCCGTGTTTGGTTACCTAAAATATTACTATATATATAACGTAACAATATTTTCTGGTTTAAAAAAAATCAGCTGTTCCAGTAAGGTAACAATTACACAAGTATTTTATGTCAATTCTGTCTTGTGTAAAAACACTAAATAATGATGTGCTATTAAAATCAAAATTACTGTGTGAAATTTAAAAACAATCTACGTCACTGTTGAATCAGCGGTACAACACAAGTCAGTAGTATAGAAAGATGTTTAAACACCATTGCCTGTCGTGAGATTTAAATTGTATACAAAGACAATCTTTATAACAGGGACCAGTATGAGACTTCTGTATTATAACTAATTACAAGAGCATATTGTGAATATTTTAGATTCATTTCATTTGAACCACAACCATGTTCTTCATACATTTACCGATATCATTTCCTTAAACCTTTTAACAATAATAAATTTCCTTGTGTCTGATTTAGGGAATCCCAAAATGATGTCATGTCTTAGGTGTTCATCACTGATTTATATCTGTCCACAATGATGTCATGTCTTAGGTGTCCATCACTGATTTATATCTGTCCACAATAACATCATGTCTTAGGTGTTCATCACTGATTTATATCTGTCCACAATGATGTCAAATCTTAGGTGTTCATCACTGATTTATATCTGTCCACAATGATGTCATGTCTTAGGTGTCCATCACTGATTTATATCTGTCCACAATAACATCATGTCTTAGGTGTTCATCACTGATTTATATCTGTCCACAATGATGTCATGTCTTAGGTGTCCATCACTGATTTATATCTGTCCACAATGATGTCATGTCTTAGGTGTTCATCACTGATTTATATCTGTCCACAATAACATCATGTCTTAGGTGTTCATCACTGATTTATATCTGTCCACAATGATGTCATGTCTTAGGTGTCCATCACTGATTTATATCTGTCCACAATGATGTCAAATCTTAGGTGTCCATCACTGATTTATATCTGTCCACAATGATGTCATGTCTTAAGTGTCCATCACTGATTTATATCTGTCCACAATAACGTCATGTCTTAAGTGTCCATCACTGATTTATCACATCTCTGTCCACAATGATGTCATGTCTTAGGTGTCCATCACTGATTTATATCTGTCCACAATGATGTCATGTCTTAGGTGTCTATCACTGATTTATATCTGTCCACAATGATGTCATGTCTTAAGTGTCCATCACTGATTTATCACATCTCTGTCCACAATGATGTCATGTCTTAGGTGTCCATCACTGATTTATATCTGTCCACAATGATGTCATGTCTTAGGTGTCTATCACTGATCTATATCTGTCCACAATGATGTCATGTCTTAGGTGTCCATCACTGATTTATCACATCTCTGTCCACAATGACGTCATGTCTTAGGTGTCCATCACTGATATATCACACCTCTGTCCACAATGACGTCATGTCTTACATTTTCATTATAAGACAAGTTTGAATTATATTTTGATATAACAGTTCTAGTAATTCTGTAGGGGAAATGTATGGAAGATGAAAGGCTCGTGGTATTTTTACAACATAGGTATCAAAACCCCTCTATGTACTTCAACTGGGACCAATATCTTTTCCACCAAGAAAATGACAATCAAAAGACTTGTTCCATAAGGAAACTTTTAGTAAACCAATTTCATTTCATTATGATACATGTATAATGAATGATTATAAGACACAGGTTAAGGAAGTTTAAAGCACAGGAAAAGACTTAAGAAGACATCATTTCAGTCAATACTGCAATGTACATGAAGGTAACAATCTGCTCAATTAGTAAACCTCATCAACATGGTGTTAACCTGTTGATGTGAATATTTTCATAACATCAAAAACTTACCATCTGCTCCTTGCTCCTTTGAAACACCACTGACAAATGAGTTTCCAGGTAAAACACGGCGAAGAACAAACTTGATATCGTCATCTTGATCATTCCACTGTTTGAGAAACTCATAGATGTTTTCATCTTCTTTTAGTATTTGCTCTGAAAACAAAACCCGAACTTTCCTGAAGGATATAAGTTACCTCGTTCTGACATAACAAGGTTTTAGGTTAATGTTGGTCCAATGCTTTTCCCTGCTTGAATTGAATTTGAAGTAGAATTTATCAATATTCATCACCTAGGTCAGAATGTAATTATGATTAAATCAAATTTTTCCCCACAAAAAATGAAGGAAACTGGGTATTCATATGGGTATGGCAACCATATACCCTTAACACAAATTAAAGATATTCATGTGTAATCCTATACCTAAACACAAATTATAAATTACAGGATCTTTCATCATCATCACCAAAATCCCTACCTCTCCAATTCAAGTCATTAACTCCCTAACTATTTAGCTGTAGTCATCCCATCATTCTCCCTATCTCTTCAGGCCTAGTGATCACCACCCATCTCCCTACCTCTCCTGGTCTAGTCATCACTATCCATCTCCCTACCTCTCCTGGTCTAGTCATCACTATCCATCTCCCTACCTCTTCAGGCCTAGTGATCACCACCCATCTCCCTACCTCTCCTGGTCTAGTCATCACTATCCATCTCCCTACCTCTCCTGGCCTAGTCATCACCACCCATCTCCCTACCTCTCCTGGCCTAGTCATCACCACCCATCTCCCTACCTCTTCAGGTCTAGTCATCCCCACCCATCTAACTACCTCTTCAGGTCTAGTCATCACCACCCATCTCCCTACCTCTCCTGGTCTAGTCATCACCATCCATCTCCCTACCTCTCCCGGTCTAGTCATCACCATCCATCTCCCTACCTCTCCTGGCCTAGTCATCACCACCCATCTCCCTACCTCTCCTGGTCTAGTCATCACCACTCATCTCCCTACCTCTCCCTACCTCTCCAGGCCTAGTCATCACCACCCATCTCCCTACCTCTCCAGGCCTAGTCATCACCACCCATCTCCCTACCTCTTCAGGCCTAGTGATCACCACCCATCTCCCTACCTCTCCTGGTCTAGTCATCACCACCTATCTCCCTACCTCTCCTGGTCTAGTCATCACCACCCATCTCCCTACCTCTCCTGGTCTAGTCATCACCACCCATCTCCCTACGTCTCCTGGTCTAGTCATCACCACCCATCTCCCTACCTCTCCCTACCTCTCCTGGTCTAGTCATCACCACCCATCTCCCTACCTCTCCTGGTCTAGTCATCACCACCCATCTCCCTACCTCTCCCGGTCTAATCATCACCACCTATCTCCCTACCTCTCCCTACCTCTCCTGGTCTAGTCATCACCACCCATCTCCCTACCTCTCCTGGTCTAATCATCACGACCTATCTCCCTTCCTCTCCTGGTCTAGTCATCCCACCTATCTCCCTACCTCTCCTGGTCTAGTCATCACCACCCATCTCCCTACCTCTCCTGGTCTAGTCATCACCACCTATCTCCCTACCTCTCCTGGTCTAATCATCACCACCTATCTCCCTACCTCTCCCTACCTCTCCTGGTCTTATCATCACCACCCATCTCCCTACCTCTCTTGGTCTAATCATCACCACCTATCTCCCTACCTCTCCTGGTCTTATCATCACCACCCATCTCCCTACCTCTCCTGGTCTAGTCATCACCACCTATCTCCCTACCTCTCCCTACCTCTCCTGGTCTAGTCATCACCACCCATCTCCCTACCTCTCCCTACCTCTCCTGGTCTAGTCATCACCACCCATCTCCCTACTTCTCCCTACCTCTCCTGGTCTAGTCATCACCACCCATCTCCCTACCTCTCCTGGTCTAGTCATCACCACCCAACTCCCTACTTCTCCCTACCTCTCCTGGTCTAGTCATCACCACCCATCTCCCTACCTCTCCTGATCTAATCATCACCACCCATCTCCCTACCTCTCCTGGTCTAGTCATCACCACCTATCTCCCTACCTCTCTTGGTCTAATCATCACCACCTATCTCCCTACCTCTCCTGGTCTAGTCATCACCACCCATCTCCCTACCTCTCCCTACCTCTCCTGGTCTTATCATCACCACCTATCTCCCTCTCCCTACCTCTCCTGGTCTTATCATCACCACCCCTCTCCCTACCTCTCCTGGTCTAGTCATCACCATCTATCTCCCTACCTCTCCTGGTCTAGTCATCACCATCCATCTCCCTACCTCTCCTGGTCTAGTCATCACCACCCATCTCCCTACTTCTCCCTACCTCTCCTGGTCTAATCATCACCACCTATCTCCCTACCTCTCCCTACCTCTCCTGGTCTAGTCATCACCATCCATCTCCCTACCTCTCCTGGCCTAGTCATCACCACCTATCTCCCTACCTCTCTTGGTCTAGTCATCACCACCCATCTCCCTACCTCTCCCTACCTCTCCTGGTCTAGTCATCACCACCCATCTCCCTACCTCTCCTGGTCTAGTCATCACCACCCATCTCCCTACCTCTCCTGGTCTAGTCATCACCACCCATCTCCCTACCTCTCCTGGTCTAGTCATCACCACCCATCTCCCTACCTCTCCCTACCTCTCCTGGACTAGTCATCACCACCTATCTCCCTACCTTTCCTGATCTAGTCATCACCACCCATCTCCCTACCTCTCCTGGTCTAGTCATCACCACCTATCTCCCTACCTCTCCCTACCTCTCCTGGTCTAGTCATCACCACCTATCTCCCTACCTCTCCTGGTCTAGTCATCACCACCCATCTCCCTACCTCTCCTGGTCTAGTCATCACCACCTATCTCCCTACCTCTCCTGGTCTAGTCATCACCACCCATCTCCCTACCTCTCCCTACCTCTCCTGGTCTAGTCATCACCACCTATCTCCCTACCTCTCCTGGTCTAGTCATCACCACCAATCTCCCTACCTCTCCCTACCTCTCCTGGTCTAGTCATCAACACCTATCTCCCTTCCTCTCCTGGTCTAGTCATCACCATCCATCTCCCTACCTCTCCTGGTCTAGTCATCACCACCTATCTCCCTACCTCTCCTGGTCTAGTCATCACCACCCATCTCCCTACCTCTCCTGGTCTAGTCATCACCACCCATCTCCCTACCTCTCCTGGTCTAATCATCACGACCTATCTCCCTTCCTCTCCTGGTCTAGTCATCACCATCCATCTCCCTACCTCTCCTGGTCTAGTCATCACCACCCATCTCCCTACCTCTCCCTACCTCTCTTGGTCTAATCATCACCACCCATCTCCCTACCTCTCCTGGTCTAGTCATTAATACCCATCTCCCTACCTCTCCTGGTCTAGTCATCACCACCCATCTCCCTACCTCTCCTGGTCTAATCATCATGACCTATCTCCCTACCTCTCCTGGTCTTATCATCACCACCTATCTCCCTACCTCTCCCTACCTCTCCTGGTCTTATCATCACCACCCATCTCCCTACCTCTCCCTACCTCTCCTGGTCTTATCATCACCACCTATCTCCCTACCTCTCCCTACCTCTCCTGGTCTTATCATCACCACCTATCTCCCTACCTCTCCCTACCTCTCCTGGTCTTATCATCACCACCCATCTCCCTACCTCTCCTGGTCTAGTCATCACCACCCATCTCCCTACCCCTTTAGCTGTACCTTACCTTGACCTTTCCATATTTGTACAAGGCAGTATGTAGCCCCTCCGCCAGGCTCCTGGGCCAAAGATACGACATCAGAGCATGTTGTTTCAGGACTCACAGGAACTTCAATGCATCGATGGTCAAGGTCATCTACATAGACTTTCAGTATTATCTGAAAGAAAAGAAAAAGTCCTGTAAATTACAACAGGCATTTTGCAGCAGACAGCCATTTACTTCTGATAGACTGATTGAGTCTTTGGTGAATTCATGACTGAAGGTATACAAGATGTGCAAGTGATGGCTGATGTACTCACAACAATGCACTTTACCTTCACTTCTTTTTTCTAATGTTTATTTACTTTGTAATACATCTAAAAATTCTGTTAAATGTTTATTGAAATAGTTAGCAAAATAACATGCAGTATAATGGTTTTGTCCGACTCTTGGTTGAGATTTCATTTTGAATGGGACACTTTCATAAGTTTATAAGGATTTTTGAAAAAATCAAGACAAGGGAGATAATCCCTGTGGAAATCTCAAGTAATCAAACAGGTGTATCCTTGAAAATGCCCCATTATAACAGGCCATTTGGAATGCTGACAGAGATGCCGGTTTGATGTGGCCAGGGTTTCCATGTGTTAGGTATGCAGTACTATCTGTTGAGTATCAGGAGGGGGCCATATTTCTCTACTTCTCAGTGCTGACTATTACACAAAATTACATAACATACAGTCACTTTAGAACAGATTACTGCAGCCCAGATCAGCCTCCAGACTTGGCTAACCCATTAGTCCGTTTAATGTCTGGTATATTTCCAGGATAATCTAGATCTTCTTGGTTGAATCCACATGTATTTTGAAATTTTGTATTTACATCTTTAGAACCAGGGACGTGTCAGATTGTGTTACAACAGACTCTAAAATGTCTAAATATCATTAAACCACATACCACACATACAAATCAACAATAATTAATTCTGATCCATATGACATCCTGGATGAAAACTCTCTATCTCTTCAGTTTCAGTTTAGATAAAACTTTTGATATTTTAAACATAACATTATCTATGCTATTTCCCTTGATCAGGTTGATACATGTATGGACCCCTGACTCATACTGCTTACAGATTAGATAGAGTACATTCACTTAATGTAGGATCAATTTTGTATTTACGCATCATTTTTTTTTAAATATCACTTTTATTCCATAAAATATTAACACATTTTTGTATTACATTTATATAATTTCTATAAAATTATATAATTTTGCGATTTCAAAAAATACACTTTACATTGATTTTGGATACATTCAGTTTTAATGACCACTTTGGATTCATGGAAAAGTGTTATCGGTTCGATGTACTGAAGTTTTGTGACAGATTTTTAATCACGGAAGATTTGATTGATGCACTTTTAAACCAAGGGGGATAACTCTTACCAGCTTACCTGAGAGAACTGATTGACCTCAATGAATGAGTGACATGTTTATATACAGATAGTGCTTGTAAACTCTGGCACAGTCACAACAAAACCTTAAACATATGCTTTTTACCAATTTACATTGATAGATAAAAGGTTGGTCTGGTCAAGATAAACTGGGGTCATTCACCCACAGCCAACATTTAGGTACACCCATTAGAGATAAGAATTTAAGCTACTCACCATTTTATTGAAATCTAATACCAGGATCTAGTGGGCTTTTATATGAGCATTTTAGTGCATTAGGTGCCAATCTCCAATAAATATCCATTTTACAATAACATTAGTGTCAGTGAGTGGAGTTTGGTCCAGAACAGACATCAATGATAACTACATCATCTTGACATTCTAAACAAATCTCCTCAAAACCATCACTTACAACAGATATCTCCACATTCCATGACCCTACAAACAAAGTGTTTTATGAACAAAATTTTGGCATTTTTGTTGAAAGGTCAATATCCAAGGTCAATGTCAACCACCACAGCACAGACTGGTCCATTTCTGAACTTACTGAGATGGTCAATGTCAACCACCACAGCACAGACTGGTTCATTTCTGAACTTACTGAGATGGTCAATGTCAACCACCACAGCACAGACTGGTTCATTTCTGAACTTACTGAGAAGGTCAATGTTAACCACCACAGCACAGACTGGTTCATTTCTGAACTTCCCGAGAAGGTCGATGTCAACCATCATAGCAAGGCTGGTCCATTTCTGAATTTCTTGAGAAACGAAAATTGCCACAGGTATAGGAAGCTCCCAATTACGCACCTCAAATCTTCACCCGAGATCACATAGGCCAACACTCTGACCGACTAAGCTATTGCGGCCCCATTTTCTCAAGTGTTCCCATACGGAGCAATTTCTTCATTCATCAAACTTTCAATTAAGCATAGCACAGTTTGAAATTTGTTTTTACGTATGAATAGAGATCTGGAATCTTATTTTACATTGATATCACATATGTAATGAATATTTGCTGTCAGCAGTATCCATAACAACACATCTGTAAAGGTACAATATCTATATGACCTTATATACATTTTAAATTAGTATACATACTTATATGAACAAGATTGCCATGCTGCAGTAGAACAAATGAGTTAACTTGACTGTCTCAACTATCAATAAAAGTCAGATAAAAAGAGTCAACCTGACTGTCTCAACTATCAATAAAAGTCGGATAAAGTGAGTCAACTACTACTGTCTCAACTACCAATAAAAGTCAGATAAAGTGAGTCAACTTGACTGTCTCAACTATCAATAAAAGTCAGATAAAAAGAGTCAACCTGACTGTCTCAACTATCAATAAAAGTCGGATAAAGTGAGTCAACTACTACTCTCTCAACTACCAATAAAAGTCAGATAAAGTGAGTCAACTTGACTGTCTCAACTATCAATAAAAGTCAGATAAAAAGAGTCAACCTGACTGTCTCAACTATCAATAAAAGTCGGATAAAGTGAGTCAACTACTACTCTCTCAACTACCAATAAAAGTCAGATAAAGTGAGTCAACTTGACTGTCTCAACTATCAATAAAAGTCAGATAAATTGAGTCAATTTGACTGTCTCAACTATCAATAAAAGTCAGATAAAAAGAGTCAACCTGACTGTCTCAACTACCAATTTAAGTAAGATAAAGTGAGTCAACTACTACTGTCTCAACTACCCATAAAAGTCAGATAAAGTGAGTCAAGTTAAATGTCTCAACTACCCATAAAAGTCAGATAAAGTGGGTCAAGTTAACTGTCTCAACTACCCATAAAAGTCAGATAAAGTGAGCCACTTCTACTGTCTCAACTACCAATAAAAAAGTAAGATAAAGTGAGCCACTTCTACTGTCTCGACTACCTGCTACATTTGGTAAGGTCATAAAGATGCAATGCCATAGAGTGGTAAATATTTTGTTGTGCCATTTTGAATTCATTATGTAATGTCATGTATATTATGACATCACGATCAATTACTGATTGCTTCAGCCAATGAAAAATATTCTACAATGTACAACACCAGTGACATTATACACAAAATATTTCAACAATTGAAAAATTAGGAAAAAATAGAAAAAAGCAATATTGTCATCTTCAATAAAATGTGCTGGGACATGTACACTGTGGAGCACCAAGTGAACCAATGACAAGGGATTAGTGTTATTTCCTTCCCTATAAATCTACCTGAGAGACAGTATTACATTAGCATTAGAAATAGACATTACCCCCAGGCAGCTAGGTTCATGAGCATATACAACAGGAATGTGAAGTGACAGTTCTGTTAGTCACTAAGGCAATATCATTGTCTGTCACTAAGACAGTATGATGGTCTATTTCTCACTATAACAGTATGATAGTCTATTTCTCACCGTAACAGTATGATAGTCTATTTCTCACTAAGACACAATCACTTACCAAAAAACATAAAGAGGAAGGTATGAGTGATTAGACCCTATATGTTAGCTGTTTTATATGAAACCTGTGGTAAACAGACAGGTAACATCACTTATACACAAGTATGTGCTGTAATTGATATATCAGGTTTTATCTTTTCTGGGCCATGTGATACATGTTCTGACTTTAATATGTGGAAAAAGTTTTACAGATAAAAACATAAATTGACAGAGAACATGTACTTGATATCTGAACAAGAATATCAGTGAAACTGATGAATGTTCCCCTAAAAGGACTTAATTGGACACAAAATGTCTGTAATTAGGGGGTTTCAGGCACTGAATATGGTACACTGTACATCCTCTAAGTATGACCAATGTATACACCATGTTTAATTGTCCTAACTTAGACGAAAGTATAACTATACTCTGGACTCAAAAGGTTTAACAAAGGGCAATAACTCTGTAATTTAGTGGTTGGAGGTTCTGACTTTGGTACACTGCATATATAGTCAGTATGACCAATATATACACCAAGTTTCATTATCATAGTTTCAATGAAGGGCAAGTTATGCTCTTCAGAAATTATTTTGATAAGAAGCAAGAACTATGAAAGTAAGATATTGCAATTACAGATAAAATTGTATACGACGTCATGGCGGCTATTTTGCTTTTTCTGATGAAGTTGAAAATTGCTACTAAATGGTAGAGGACATCTGGGGAAAGCTTGTATAAAAATTCAACTACTGGTTCTCATTAGGGGTTAAAGTTGAAAACTTCTATTTTGGGTAACTAACTTTGGAAACCTTCTCAGTTCTGCAACGTATATGGCTTTGATATCTTATATATAGGAAGCTGTAGTAATTAAATATCAAGTGTGTTGATATAAATAATCGTGACCCATTTTTTCTTGGTCACATGTGTCAATTTAGACAAATTCTTTCCATAGCATTTTCTCAATTACCAAGAGGCACATGATGATGACATTTTGTTAGTAGCATACTGTGATTAACTGCTATTGTATATACTGATCAAACCTTGTCTGAAAATTCAACTTCCAGTCCTTGATGGGGGTCAAAGCTGACAATTGCTACATTAGGTAACAAACTTTGAAAAACTTCCATAGGGTCTAGAGTCTTGATATTTCATGTTAAGGAAGCTCTGGTAATAGCCATTAGTCTGCTGATACAAATGACCTTCACCCTCTTTCAAGGTCATAGGGGTCAATTATGTCAGAATATTTCTATAGCATTTTCTCAATAACCAAAAAGCACACTGTGGTGTAATTTGTTTCTGAAGCATACTG